CACTTTGGAGACCTCATGATGAGGGATTCCCACTACAGATATTGTAGGCATGTCTGATGGCAAGTACTGGGCTTGGCTTCTGGCCTGGAGAGGCTACTAAAGGTTCAACCTAGAGATTCAACCTAGAGATTCCTTTTAAAAGTTCCAGCAAAGCAAATTCTTAAAAGATCTATATGATCATTTATCTTGCTGAGTTTATGTAAATAATTAGTCCAAGTTTGTTAAAATTGGACTTGTTTTGCAAAGAAATTAGTCTTGTTTGGCTATCTCTGGAAATGAGGGTTATTTTATAGAGAAAAATTGTGTTTCAATAACGCAACTTTGTGGATGTTAAATCCTAGTTTTGATTGTCCTTAAATGTTGTTTGCTTTAGCTAGGCAACTTGAGGTAAACTTCAGAAAAATTGCCACAATAGCCCAGGTATAGGCAGTATTCTTGCCTGTTATTCTGTGGGGATAATAACAGGACCCCATGGACATATGATTAAACAAGTGGAAAATGGGACAGATTTGGGGCATCTGGGTAGCTCAGTGGGTTGGGCCTCTGCCTTTGGCTCGGGTCATGGTCCCAGGGTCCTGGGATCAAGTCCCACATCGGGCTCTCTGCTCAGCAAGGAGCCTGCTTCTTCCTCTCTCTCTGCCTGCCTCTCTGCCTACTTGTGATCTCTGTCTGTCAAATAAATAAAGTAAAATCTTAAAAAATTTAAAAAAAAAAGAAAAGAAATGGGACAGATTCCCCAACAATTGCATAACTCAGCTATCACCTTGACAAATTCTATGTGGCTGGGATGACAAAATCACCTCCTTAAAAGCCAGAGCATACCCCACTAACTATGGGCTTGTGGAGATAATGGATGACCCCGCTTTCTTTTTTTTCTTTTTTTAAGGTTTTATCCATTTATTTGACAGAGATCACAAGTAGGCAGAGAGGCAGGCAGAGAGAGAGAGAGAGAGAGAGAGACGAGGAAGCAGTCTCCCTGACAGGCAGAGAGCCCGATGCGGGGCTCGATCCCATGACCCCGGGATCATGACCCGAGCCGAAAGCAGAGGCTTTAACCCACTGAGCCACCCAGGCGCCCCCACCCCACTTTCTTTATGATTAAATTGGATGATGCACTTGGGGATGCCCCCAGCTCTTGAGACAAGTCTTTTCCTACTTGCTAGTGATTACTTGTAATTAGGATATTGTTAACTCCAGACCTCAAACAAAGAGGTCTTCTCGATGGTATTATCCTTTATTTATATTTATCCTAAAAGCCACCTCTATTGAGGTACAATGGCAAACAAAGCCTTTAGCCAAACATACAGCAGTCCTCCTGGTAGGAGCCTCAAAGCTCACTATTGGACAGTCCCAGACTGTAGTGACTTCACATGAGGTCCAGAGTGTTTTGGGGACAGAAGGCCACCAATAAATGATGGGAGGCAGACTTATTAAATACCAGGTTATGCTTAGAGATATGCCTGAAGTAATACTTAAAATCTGTCAGACTTTAAACCCAGCTACCCTCATGCCTAGACCTGTCCATTGTACTTCTGTAGAGCATAACTGTTGGAAGTCATTCATCTTGTTTATTCTAGTCAACCAGATGAAAAGATTCCCCTACTGGAAATACAGATGACAGTTGGTTTACTGATGGCAATAGTTTCGTGGAAAAGGGAATAAGAAAAGCTGGGTGTGCCACAGTGCTCACTCATGCTTTGCAATTGCCGAAGCCTTAAAAATTAATATTTATACTGACTCCAAATATGCTTCCCTAGTCCTACATGCCCACAGAGCAATGTTTTTTAAAGATTTTATTTATTTGTCAGAGAGAGAAAGAGAGAGCACACAAGGAGGGGGAGTGGCAGGCACAGGGAGAGGGAGAAGCAGGTGGCTATGTGGCTTTAACTTGTGGCCATGGCTTCCCCCAGGCTAGATATAAAAACTTCTCATTCCATAGTGATCTCAATCATTCTCAACAAATTCACATATGGTGATCAAAATTTGAACAAATAACTCTTGAAGGGATTGTTACATATATGTGATACCGATGTTTGGATGAATGGACCCCTGATGATTACAATAAAATTCTAGTCAAGTGGTAGGTACCAGAAGTTTTAAAATTGTGCAAACCTGTTCCAGAAATTCCACATCTAGGAATTCAAGAAATGGTCATGAATGTGGAAAGAAATTAGCTCTAAAGATGTTCATTTAACAAGTTGTATAAAATAGGGAAAATCAATAAAAAACTTAAAAGTGTCCTACAATATAGAATTATGTGTTATGATTCATACACATGATAAAATGTTATGCAGCCATTTAAAGTATTACGAAAGAACACCTGACATGAAAAGTAGCTTCACAATATATTAAGTGAAAGAGGTTACAAAGTGGTATACATAGTATGTTATATTATTAGAAAAAGTTCTTAGATATTTTAAACACTTGAATTATGTGCACTTAATTAGTGGTATTACCCATTGAAGAGGGATTTCTTCCTTTTTTTTTTTGCTTGTTTCCAATTTGTTTAATTAAATTATACTAATTAAACATACCATGGTGTTTAAAATAGATGCACAGATTCTTTGACACTTCTTTGAAAAAGTGGAGCCTAGGGTGCCTGGGTGGTTCAGTCGGTTAAGTGTAAGCCTTAGGCTCAGGTCATGGTCCCAGAGTCCTGGGATCAAGTTCCACATCTGGCTCCTTGCTTGGCAGGGAGCCTGCTTCTCCCTCCGCCTGCAGCTCTCCCTGCTTGGGCTATCCAAAAAAAAAAAAAAAAAAAAAAAAAAAGGAACCTAATCCCTCTCCAACATCATGACCCTAAACTAAAACCACTCTGTTAGCCACCTGAGTTCTTCACCTCTAGCAACTAAAATAATATGTATTTGCTGGTTTAAGCCACTAGGTTTTGGAGTAACTTATTACACAGCAATAAGTAACTAATACACAATTTTCACAATTACTGTATTTAACCTATAAAACTTTTAGTATCTAAGGTTAGCAAAATCTAGTTAGAACATGTTACAGAGTTCTGCTTTAATATGGCTTATGTCTGTCTGGGATTGTGATGAATTGGGAACCGTGTACGAAGTGAGATGTTTAAGAAAGTAAGGTCGTTACACTCTAAATGTCATTTTTTCCATTAGATAACTAAGACATACTTACATGAATGTGGTGCCTTGTACATACCAGACAAAAAAAGCATGAACCAATGAATGCATTTTTTTTTTTAAGATTTTATTTATTTGACAGAGATCACAAGTAGGAAGAGAGGCAGGCAGAGAGAGAGGAGGAAGCAGGCTCCCCACCGAGCAGAGAGCCCGATGCGGGGCTCGATCCCAGGACCCTGAGATCATGACCTGAGCCGAAGGCAGAGGCCTTAGCCCACTGAGCCACCGAGGCACCCCCAATGAATGTATTTTTAACTGTAGATCCCAAAATACAAAATACTGTATACACAAGTGGTTAGGTGGTGTTTAAATGAGGTTCTATGGATTTTAAAGGGATGGATATTTACTATGGATGAAAGATTTGGAGAGAAAGTGGCACTTAAAATAAGTACAGGTAGAATTTGTTTTAGAAAGATTAAAATGATAAAGGGGGAAGGGCACACTAAGTAAGACAGCACAGATTCACATGAAGAAGCAGAATCAAATATGGTGAGGACAGAAGATCTGTGTCAAGAACCAGTGTGTGTTTTTGGAAGTTGTGTTAACAAAATTTAAGAAAATTTAATAGATGATATAAGGAATTTAGGCTTTTTTATCCTGCAGGGCTAGAGCATTCCTTGAGGGTTTTTATATGTTTAAAGTGGCCTTCAGGAAGATTAATCTGGGCATGATGTCTCTGAGACACAGCAGGAGACTGAGGGTAAAATCCTGAAGGCCAAGTCAGTGGCAATGGGAACATTGATGTAAGTGCTGTTTGTTTCAGCAGCACATATACTAATCATGAGAGGGCCTACGATATACCAGGCATGGAGAGCTTTACCTGTATTATTTTATTTACACCTCCTAAGAACTCTTGAAATTTGTACAGTATTATATCCATTTAATCCATACAGTATATATAATCCATACAGTATTATATCCAGATAAGCCGCTTGCCCAAGTTCATACAGGTGTTTGATTCCTTGAAGTCAGGACTCCCTACTATAGCACACCACAGGGAAGCATTTTAAAAGAATGAATATAGTAAATGAAGAATTAAGGCTTTGAGTAGAGAGGAAGGAGAAGGGATTGTGCTCTGTAAACTGAAACATTGTTACTATTTATTGGGTACCTCATACTGCGAGGCTCTTATCTGAGCGAGATGTTTTATATAATCTATAATCCAGTTTGGTAAAGTAATCCAGTATCAGTCCCATTTTACAAACGAGAAAGCAGAGGCTTGGTGTAACCTGGCAGTAGTTACCGTAGAAATTTGCTGAATGCCACAGCAATGAAGAGTCACAGTGAGGATTAACACTCAGGTTGCTTCCTCTAGTACACACCAGCCTTCTAAGCAAGGACTCACCAAGGGGCACAGAGGCCTAAAAGAATGCAGGCAGAGAGATCAGCCTTCTGATAGCCTGTATAAAGTTTAAGCCACAACTCAACTCTGTCGTTGGACATGGCGTTTGTGAGTGATTCTGAACAGCAGGAAGTTGCCCAGAGTAGAGGAAACTGATGCTTTCGAGGATCTGCGTACCTGACCTTTGCAACGGGCTGCATGACCTCTGGAAAGTGACTGGAACTCCTCCGCCCCAGAATGCCCTCTTCAGAATGGGAGCTAGCAGGGCCCGCCTGGAAGGACTGGTGCGAGATCAAGTCTTAGCCAATGTCCCATGTACACGATTACAGCGGCATACACTCCTATTCTGGCGAGTATTAAGCCTGCACACCACATCTGTGAATCGTACAGATTCCGGCCTTTGCCTCCCCCCCCATTCATCTTCGTTACGTGTAAAATGAACTACTTCCTTTGTGGACTTGAAACGAGTTACCGTAGCAACGGGGAAAAGAAACCACCGAGAGTTAAAATGCCGTTCTTGCTGCTTTAATTAGAAACCCTAAAAAGGCACACCCCTTGGACACTTGGTGTTACTTAACAATCACAAGGAAAAGAGGCTGCGGCGGTCAAGTTGGGCGACGTCGGGAAGGAGTCATGCTGGCCCACATGCATTCTCCCCTGCCGAGCACAGCTGCCGCCGAGCCGGAGAAAACGCTTCGCTCGGTGCCGCCGGGCACCCTGCAGGGAACCGACACGCCGATCACCGTTCCCGGCCCGCGCGCAGGCGCTGGAGGAAAATGCTCCACTCAGTCTTAAAGAGATGTTTCCGCACCGCCGAGCCTCTTCTCCGACTCCCCAATCTGACCGTGCCGATCCTTCACACCATTCGTACTGCGGTCCAGGGGCGAGCGGGGCCGGCCGTGACTCGCCAGCGGGAGCCGCCGCGGAGGGGGCGCCACTGCCCGCCGCAGTTGCAGACGGCCGACGCGACCGGCGCCCGGGTGGCCAGGATGCTGGGCCAGGGTCCCGGCGTCTACGGCCCGCACGCACCTGCGCTCAGATCAGGCGGGTGCGCGCGCGGGGCTGCAGCTGGCGCTGGCGACGCTTGCGCTGGCCGTTGAGGAGCTTCTGCGCGAGCTTGCGCTCGTGGCCGCCGGGCACCGGCCAGTTGGTGCGCAGTTCCCGCTCGCGCCGCGTCCGACCCTTGCTGCGTCCGGCCCCGCAGGCCGGGAAGTCGCGCAGGTAGTAGTAATCCAGGCAGTCGTACAGCTCCTCCTCGGAGATCACGGGCGGCCACCCTTCCGGTGGCTGCGGCGTGACGGGAGCCTGGGCGCTGAGGAGGACCGGATCCATGGCGTCGCGCCCCAGGACCGCCCGCCCGCGCGCGCGCGCGCGCGCGCTCCTGGAAGACCGTGCCCCGCCTTCCGATTGGCTCTGCCCGCGGGGGCGGGGCCTCGGGTGACGTCACAGAGCCCGGAAGGAGTCGCGCGCGAGGGCCCGCGCTCCGGTCCCAGGAGCAGCGGCCGCTCCCTCTGCGGCGGCCTGTGGTGGTGGGTGCGAGAGGGGCGTTCGGCGGAGTCCGGCCGAGCACTCGGTCTACGCTGGCCCGAACTGGAAAATGGCCCCAAGTCAGCCGTGAGAGACTGCGTACGGGAAACCGGCCGCGCGCGTCCGGAGACTCTCCGCAGCCGTGAACATCAGTCAGGTTGTAGGTGACGGAGGGAGTGCTCGGTGGTGACGTGAGGTGAAGCGGTCGCTCCCGTACGAGCAACTCTGGTGTCCCGGCAGTGCAGGGCCCCACGGCCGTCCACAGCGGAGACCGAAAGGAGGCCCGTCAGAGCGCTGCAAGCACTGCGGCCGCATGAGCGCGGTCCCTTTCCCTTCCGCCGTCCCCGCTCTCGACGAGGAAGGAAGGAAGGATCTGAAGCGGGAGGCGATGAGGGGTAGCGAGAGATCACCACGCGGGCCCGCTGCGGAGCCGGGAGCCGCGCGACTGCGGATTCCTCGCGGGAGCCCAAGACCCCGGCCCCGGGGCCGCACTCGTTAGCTGGACGCGCCGGCGGCTCGCGGCGGGGGCCCGAAGGAGGGGCGGCGGCGCGGGGCGGGGGCAAGAGGACCCGGGCCGGGGCACTGCGCCCGAGAAGACCAGGTCTCCGCGCTCCGCGGCCCCCGCGGCTCGGCGGCGACGCCCAGGGCCGATTCCCGAATTGCTGTCGCTCTCGGCGCCGCTCCCGGGAGTCACTGCGGCGAACGTCTTCATTGTGCGGAGGGTTAACCAGCCCAGATAATTCTCGTCCCACAAAAATTGCGGCTCTCCTCTGGGGGATTTTCTTTACAACAGATCAAAAATAATTCCCGACTTAAAACAAAAAACGCCTTCCCTGATACTCGATCTTGCAGGGTTTGGTGCGGATCTGAGTTTTCCCTTCGCGCTCTGAAGCCGGCTCCCGGCTGGGGCGTGGCCTGCGTACCCTCTCCGAGGGCGGTTTCGGGGGGTTCCTTAAATGAACGGGTCCCCGAGAGTGTTTTTAATAAAACGCCCAGAGGATTTTCTCTTCCGCCCACGTCTTATATTTGCTATTGCGAAAAAGAGAAACTAATATTTATCGTTTTACTGCTCTCCCACGCACGGTCTTTAAAAAAAATCTCTCCGGAGTTTGTTGTTATGAAAATATTCAGATACCTCAAGAGTGCAGAGAATAGAACAATGAACCCCCGTACCTCTCCACGCGGTTTCCACGCTTACCAAGATCCTGTCACGTTTGCTTTGCATATCCCTTTCTGTTTTCTTCTGCGGCGGACCTCATGTCATCTCACCCCGATATTTCTCAATATGAGCTCTAAAAAACTAGACCTATTGCAGTGTTATCTTACACCTGACAAAATCAGCCAGTCTTGTTATTAGCTCATACTCAGTCCAGAATCCCATTTCTCTGATTGTCTAGAAGACACCGGGATGCAGTTCAGAATATGAGCGAAATCTACATGAAGCTTGCTTGGAAGTCTCTCAGGTTCTAGGGCAGTCTCCCTGTCCCCTTCATATCCCCTGACACTGACTTGTTGCAGAAACTGGGTCAGTTGTCCTGTAAAATGTCCCACTTTGTAGATTTGTTTGCTTCTTTGTGGTGTCATTTAACTTGTTCCTCTCTCTGCCACATTTCCTGTAAATTCAGGTTGGATCTAGAGGCTTGTTTGTACTCAGATTCAATTTGGGGGTCAAGAAAAGTTCCTAGGAAGTAATGTGTGTTGGTATCACACCAGGATTTCCACAATAATTCATTGTCTCAGTTTTAGTGATGCAGGTAGTAACAGCCTTTCCTTGAAATTGTCAAGTTCCACATAAACTTTTGTTTAATGATTTCATCTATAGTTCATTGCTTTATTTGCTATTATGTTTATTTGCTATTATTTCATTATAGGCCACAAAATATAACTTTCTAATTCAATCATTCCTTCCACATTTATTTGCTAGAATTCTTTCTCTCATGAAGTTACCCTGATACATTTTGGCAAGAAAGGCAAAACAAAATGCTTAATTCCTTTTCATTTTTTAAAGTTTATTTATTGGAACACCTCGATGGCTCAGTTGTTTAACCATCTGCCTTCCACTCAGGTCATGATCCTGGGGTCCTGGGATGGAGTCCCGCATTGGGCTCCTTGCTCAACAGGGAACCTGCTTCTCCCTCTGCCTGCTCTGCCTGCCGCTCTCCCTGTTTGTGCACTCTCTCTTTGACAAATGAATAAATAAAATATTTTTTAAAATAAAGTTTATTTATTTATTTATTTATGTAAGTAATCTCTACACCCAATCTGGCACTTAAACCCATGACCCAGAGATCAAGAGTCACATGCTCTTCCAACTGAGTCAGCAAGGCGCCCCTAATTCCCTTTTACAGATGGGTTTGCAGAGTTCTAACAGACTCTACCTTTTTTTCCTATTGAGAATCATTATGAACTCAAGTACCGTTTAAAAACACAGTGTGTTTAATCAATTTCATTCATTTTTACTCTCTTTTAATGGTCAAATTGTTCCGTCTTTGGCCAGTGGGAGCTCCTTCATGTGATTCTTACGTTCTGTTGGCATTAACCTAGTAGTCTTGGAGAATGCCTTTGTTTGTGGGTAAACCAAGATGTCCATCTAGGCTCATCCTATACATTGTATGCCCCAGACCTGGAATTAGCTATTTCCCCAAGGAGTCCTTGATCTTTTTAGTGTAGAGAATGGATTTAGACACAACAATCTTAAGGCCTTGTATTACGTTTCTTGGTCTTTACAAAAACCCTGTGAAATATTACTGTCCCAGTTTTCCAGATGAGGAAATAATTTAACAACTTCCCTGAGATTATATAACTAATAAAAAGCAGATCCAGACTAAGAGTGAGAACTTCTGACCCCTATGTAACCGTTTCTTCCATTTTACTATGCCTCTTCATAGAAACTCCTTGTCAGTTCACAGATTGCTAAACATTCCTGCCCTCCTAGCTTCTGAGATGATACTTAAAAACAGGTGCCACCATCTGTCTTGCTCTCTGGCCCCAGAACTCTGAATTGATTCTGATGATATCATTGCAGTAAGATTTTTTTTTTTAAGATTTTATTTATTTATTTGACACAGAGAGAGATCGCAAGTAGGCAGAGAGGCAGGCAGAGAGAGAGAGGGAGAAGCAGGCTCCCCGCTGAGCAGAAAGCCCGATGCGGGGCTCAATCCCAGGATCCTGGGATCATGACCTGAGCCGAAGGCAGAGGCTTTAACCCACTGAGCCACCCAGGCGCCCCTTGCAGTAAGATTTTAAAGTGGACTTTGTACCTTATGTAGTGGTTTGACTCCAGACAGGGGATAAAAACTAATAAGCGTGCTTCAGGACAAGACTTTAATTCCTCATGTTAGCATAACCATGTACAGTTTATAAAGCTCTGTTTCATCACTTTCTAAAGATTATTGCAACTACCTCATAGGGTAGTGGAAAGAGAAATGGAGATTCATCCAGGTCATATGGCTTGCCTAAGGCTTATGGTGGAGTGACTCCCTGTGTCTGCATTAAGTGACACTCATTCACAAGCTCAGAGCTCACTACGGCTTATATCCAACACTTCTTTCTCTTCCCCATTTATTCATGCATTTGCATTACTTGTGTATTTGTCTAGCTCCCCTATAACATTAGAAACACGTTTGCCTCCACCCCATCGCCGGCTCACAGTAGTTATAAAATAAATGCCTGTCGAATAAATACATATGTTTAAACAACAAAAACCATTAAAAGCTGTTAACAAAAATGAGCAAAATTTAAACAATAATTTAAACCTCATTCATTCAAAATATATTTTCTAAACATGTAGCATGTGCCTGATATTGTTTTAGACTTTCAGGATTAAAGTTCCCTGCTCTCATACATTTTATACTCTAGAAGAGACAGACAATAAAAAGTATGTAATATATGATCTCTCAGTGATAAGGCAATTAAGAAATATGCAGCATAAAATGTCATGAATATTTTAGACACAAGGTTTTTTTTTTTTTGAGGTAATGGTATGGGAACAAAGGGCAAAATGAAGATACCAAAAGTGACATGAGCAAAATAGTAGAATAGGAACCTCCAAACTCTTGTTCTCACACAAGACATTAAAGTAAACAAACAAATTCAAAACCCAGAAACTAGCTAAAATAATCCTCTAGGAGTTCTGGTAAACAGTTAAAGTAAATACCCAATCAAGAAAAAGTCACGTTCAAAACAGTAGGAAATTTTGTACTATTTTTACTTGTCCTTGCCCCACATCATTCATGGCATAGCAATGGTCTTGACCTGAAAGAGGCAGCAGCCCAGTCCCCAATTCCCTCCTTCAAACCAGAGAGAGCAGAGCAGAACTTACTTTAACATTCTAAACTGCTGGGGGTGCTGAAGGACTTGTATCTGCTGTGTCTCACTGAAAGCTCAAGTAGAAAAGTGATGGGTATGGCTCAAGAAAGCTGCAGAGGACTAAAGACCCACAGATGCCTGAGGGAAGGGATTATAGGTGGAGATATACAATAGGCCGTCTATAGTCTGAAGAAGCTGGATGAGACTCTGGAAAATTAAGACATTAAAAAGTAGCCATGTATACGAGGGAATTAGTAAAGACACAAAAGCTGAGGGAAGACACATACTCAGAAGGGACATGAGAAGACTTTTGAGCTTTCACCTCGAGCTGATCTCAAAGTCTAAAGATGAGCCAGATAACTAGAGAAAGAATGCATAAGTGTAATACCAGTCTGCAAAGACTAGGAGAGATGGGTTCTTTCTAATGCCCAATTTTCAACAACATCACAGAATTACAAGGCATATAAAGAAACAGGAAAACATGACCCATTTAAAGGAGGAAAATAAATTGGCA